GGCCCTTACCAATTATTTTACCCTGTAAGCTGTAATGTTCGATTAAACAGGATAAGTTGTGTTGCATCGAACCCGGTCTGCGATCTTATTGATAGGGTGTTCGATTGTTCCTGAGTGAAACTCGTTCGAAGAATGAATCGCTTCGCTACCGAGGCATAATGTTGGTAGGTTGGGATAGCAACGAAAAGGATCTTTTCTTAACAAATTGAAAAACGCGTTTTATCCTGATGACAGGTCACCTTCATTGAAGAGCATAGGCTAACAGTCGTTTTGCCCTGCAATTGATTAAATTCTTTTTTAAGGTCTTCGCGTCATGCATTCGACCTTTATTTAGAATCCTAGTGGCACTCGAATGCGTAGTTTTGTATACAATAAGTTGCAACCACATGATTCGAAGCTGCGCGCCCCATCATTTGATTTGAATACTACTCATCGACCCAGCAAAGGAATCTCTTAGATTCTAATCTCTCTTAGATGACTGGATTGCGATCGAGAATTTCATCCTCAAAATGGCGTTCGGTTGCAGCGTCACGCGCCACTACTCTATCTCCTTGATGAGGAACCTTGAAATTTCTCGAGATGAATATGCGGCAGCAGTTGTAGTGGACGAACCCAACGTGCCACGCCCTCGTCCTTGAAGTCCTAAGTTATTGGATTTCGAGTTATTGAATGCTTAGAACAATGCATGATCCTTCTGCTGCCACCGGAGGCTGAGGTTAATTTTCGCCTCATACAAAGGGCCCTTACCAATTATTTTACCCTGTAAGCTGTAATGTTCGATTAAACAGGATAAGTTGCGTTGCATCGAACCCGGTCTGCGATCTTATTGATAGGGTGTTCGATTGTTCCTGAGTGAAACTCGTTCGAAGAATGAATCGCTTCGCTACCGAGGTAGGAAATCTATAGCAGACTGTTTGGTCAATGGAGCATTCAGTGTTTAGTAGGTTACCAGCTGGTGCATACCCGAGAATAATGATGTCAAGGCGAGGTTTGCGGGAGGGTTTGCATTCAGAAGCCACTGATTAGCTTGACTAACATTAGATTCATCTTCATCTATTCATCGTAATATTTACTATATCTGAAGTTTTTTGTTTCCTTGTGGAGCAAATAGCTTTGGCAGCCCCTAATCGACGATGATCGTCGACCTTCTGATGTGTTCGTTTGACCAGGCCGCGAAAGCCGAAATTGAGAGGTCCAGTCAGCGCTCAAAATAAGGGTATGATGGGACGTTCGCAAGGATGCATAGCACTTTGAATACGAATTTGAATGTTTTAAAAATAACTATTCCATACTGCAGCGAGTGCTACTTACTTCTGGTTACTCAGGGCAACAGTTACGATCAACACGTTGACGACATCGCGCGTTTTGTGCTTTTGCACCGCGTGGGACAAGAGCGATTTTGCGAGCGCAGCCGCCGCACACCAAATCCATGGATTTTGAGTTGTAAATACGCAATACTTAGATGCGATGAAATGTTTTCAATGATGTTCGTCTAGCTTATCAGGAGTTACAGTAATGGAAGTTTGACCGAAATGACGTGTTAAGGCCATGAAAAGGGAAATTTTACTTAATTTCCCTTTAGTGGTTCCAAAATTAATTTGGACGTGGTTGTTTCAGTAAAAACACATATCTTCCCATACGAATAGGTTTGTATTCACTTCTATTATTCCTTTTTATCAACATGTTACGTTATTGAAAAGAAAACGAGGAATGAACTGAACAGACATATCCGTAAGGTCTGGAAAACCTCTGCCAAACTAAAGAATATTTGGCCTTTCTGTGAGCCATGTGGTTTTTAAGTATGCTAATGTATGGCCTATAGAATGAGTACAAAGACCTTAGGAATAAGTCGCACAAGCGCAAGAAAAAGGGATGACTTGGGTGGGACGCGTTACCGCGTCACAATGTCCCACGAGGTGCGCAAAGTGGGACGCGTTACCGCGTCACGCTGTCGTCAACGTGTTAAGTAATGGTTCGTCCAAATAAGAAAAGAACAGAACCGTCTCTTTGAAGTCATTCTTATTTACGTCTTGTTTCTTCTGTATAAGTCAAGACACGCGATAGTTGTCCAAGAGTCAAAACCTGCTTAGTCCTCATTGTTTATGTGGTGCACAGATCAGCTCTTCACTTTTTCTGTTCATTAAGTTGGAGCTCTTCCCTTGAGTTAATTTTTTTTATTGATATAACAAAGCTGGAAAACTAATCAAGCGTCTTTCAGAAAGGACCTAAAGACGCACACTGGTATTAAGAGTCTTGTGCTACCCAAGTGAAATTTCAGGCACGCGATTTGTTTGCCGCACGACTTACGAGACAGATGAAATTCCGCTGAGACTATGTGGCATGGTATAGGTAGGGGACGCGATCGGCGATTAGTTTGCCTTGTCGTCCTCACTAACCTCCTTCGGCCATCCATCACCACTACCAACCCGCTCATCAGTCCTCTGACGAGCTCTCTTCCTACTTTGCCCGGCTGCTCCGCTTTCTGACTTCATTGTGTTCGCTTCAGCATCCATTTCATGATTCTCCGCTCGTTCCGGCACTGATTCGAGACGAGTCATGTCAATTAAGACTAGAAGTGTCAGTATTTGCCGATCTTTACGCTGAACGAACAGCAACGTTCGTCGGACCACTCGAAGCGCTGTATTTTCGCACTTGAAGTGGTTGTGTGTTTTTGATGTCGTCTAGGTGATTCGCTCATTGACTGTCACCCTGTTGACTGAAGAACAGATTAGCGGGTGATGATACCTGGTACAAACGATGACATCCTCTTTCTAGTCAAGCCGATCGCTTTCCAGTTGTTCACACGACGTTTCGTACTTTAGTCTGTTTTGTTCATTAATCTGAGTCAAAAAGGAGAAGGCACGTTTACGAGGCTTTGATTAAAGAGTAGGGCCAAGAATCTAAGCGCTGCTCGGAAATCTTTGGAAATTCCTTCGATCTCTTCAGCTCAACAAAATCGAGTGCACCATGAAACATTATGCCAAGTGTATGGCGCATGTACACATATCGCTTTCAAGTGGTTGCATTGCCCGCAGCTCCGTACGAAGCTAATCACATGGTGGAGCCCGCGTTCTATCCACGGCTTACATGGTTAGAATGCCATTGCAATACCGCATTTGTAAGGGATGATCGCTGGCTACGGTAAAAACAAAAGAGCTAATGATATTCGTTAAAAGAAGAAAACTACTTAAAATTATACATGACTATTTGGAATCCAGGGGCCACCTGCCTGAAAGCAACCAATCGTCTGCAGCCTACCACTTGCGCGATTCGTGGACTTAAGCCCTCCTCTGTTCATTGTCGGTTGATTTGAGGCAGAGTTTCAATGTATTCTCAAGGTCGATTATGACATAACTTCGGGCATTGATTATCCCTATCAAATGCGTGACGTATCCCAAGGCGTTGACTCTGAGCTGAGCATTTTACCCTTTAGTGCTCCGCATCGCAATTAAGATGCAGCTACGGTGAAATCAGTGGCTCATGTAACTTAAAAAGTATATCGAAGCTAGAAAGGGTTGTCATGCTGAAAACTGGACTAATAACTGATTCATAAGAAAACCATTCAAAGCAGCTGCATGGCCTATTAGGGCAACCATTGCCTTTTTCTGAACCCAGTATGCACATTGGATTGTGGCACCTGCTTTGAAGGAGCTCAGAGGCATATTCCTCGCCCCCTCCCATCCTTCGGGTTTTCCTACGGGAAAGAGTGGAAGAAAGTATGGAATAACAATAAAGAAATCGCCAGATCAAATGATTGCACGAGATATGCTCTTCACATATACGCAGCTCTTGTCAAAGTGCTCTCGTTTTCCTCTCGTGCTTTCTCCGATCCGTTCTCGTGCGATCTGTGTCTACACGGTGCCTACCACTTGAAGGCCACTTCCACTGCCTCCCTGGTACAAGCTGCAGCTAGGTGCAACACCCTTGGCGCCTCCTGCTATAAGTGCTACTCCATTCGCCATAAAGCTTTTTTGAGTATTATTAACTCCGGAAGTGAGTCTCATTCGATATCTGCTCAGTAGTCTTACAAGGCACCTTATTCATTTATGCTTACTTATTACACTTCTCATAAATTGTCTCGAAATTGACATTGATTTATGGCGATGTGACTGTGACGTAGTTGCACGGGACATATTCCGCGGAAATTAGACTAGGAATTGTTCGACCTCGGAAGGAAATGCCCTTAGTGAGATTGAATTGTTCTCGTTAACCTTACTTTCTTAAAAAAAACCTGTTGGGCTTTTGGTCAGCCTAACATGTCAAAATGTCTTCAGAAAGTCAAAAGAAAGGCAGAATTAGTGTTCCAACAACGGAAGTGCAGCGTGCTGAGGCTGTGCGGGACAGCTTAACTAAAAAATCACTGAGGCATGTCGCGACGTGAAACACCGGAACGGGGTGTGGCTAGGCTCAATGCCTTCACAGCCGACTAATCTGAGCAGATTAATCGCCGGGAGCTGTTTCCACCTGAGGAGGTGCTCGAGCTCAGCATCGATCAATCCTCGCTCTCCCGTCCGTGGGAGACTGTTTCTTAGCAAAGACTCACCCGCCACTTCTCACACGGTGGAATCAGAACGGTACCCGTTACGCCATGGCTTGTGCTAGCATCAGCTATTCAGCACTCGCCTCCAATGGACAGTAAGTACACATCGTTTTCTATCTGTCCTTCCTGAGATCGATGTGGTGTACGCACTCTGTCATTCAGTGCTTCTCCGCTTTCTTGCAATCAATGGGTAGCTCTTGGATAGAAGGAATCAAGGATTAGAACATGCATCGAGAATACCAAATTGGGAAGCTCGCATTCACGATGAGGAACCAATGTGAATGTCCGTGTATCGGGTAGTTAGAAAGCCAAAGGCACCAGGTGAGGCGGGCGCTTACGAGCATTAGGGGCACCGCCTCCTTGAGCACAAGTACATACTTCCCTATTCCTCTTTTCTGCAAAATTGACCACGACAAGGAGTCGACAGGAGCGAATCCTCTCAGCGTGTCCACTGCCGACCATGGCGATTGCCATCTCCCAAGCGGTTCTGCAACACCGCGCTTCACTACCCTTTGGTGTACCCGGCACTGATACTGCACTCAAATTCAAGCATTACAGGGTAACCGGCAACATGATCAGCGGGTGGGTCAGCTGTTTCGTTTTCTGGCACTGTCGAACGCCTCTGTTGCTTGTGCTTTGTTGTGATTTTCCCGAACGGCGTTCTTCATTAATCATGCACGTCAATTTTCCTGTGGCTTTTCTGTGCCGTTACGTGATGTGCTCCCCTCGAACCCATTCGCTAATGCAGCGCAGGCAATTTTAGCATTAGGAGAATGGTTTCGAATGCACGTATTGCACAATAATGTGAGCAACTAACACCAAAACTAATGTGATAAAGTGGAATTTTTGCTGGCAGCATGAACGAACCGATCCGTTTTAGGGCGGCGCAACAGCACAAGAAAACGCCTTGTTCCACTGCGAAAAACCGATGCGATGAGCCATGCAGAACGACGGAATTTTGTGATTCTCGACGACGTTTGGCGGTCGGGAGGCAGCGAGTGTTTTCAGGTAAAGCAGCGCAAGTTATTGATGCAGAAAATACGATTTACTGCGCTTATGACCAACACATTCTGTTTATGGACAAATGCGCTGCGTCATCGCCTCCCCTAGCTGTGAGGCCGCGAAACGCACTCGATTAATCGCTCGTAATCGAGAAAAGCGCTGACCGCGATGGCAGCTTGGATCCGAATGCAATCGCTTTCAAAAGACGTTTGAACTGCTTCGGGTCTGAGGAGGAGTTGTCAGAGGATTGCCTTAGTGGGATTTAATATAATTGCAGTGATCACAGCCAATGTGTTCAGATTTACAGGAGACTTCGACACAGAGAATTACCGAAGTAATCCATTTGCTTTAGATAATCCCTCCAGGCGCAATCGGTCCCGATGGGGAGCCGCTGTTTCTGCGACTGAACATTGGAGGAACACGGTACATGCTGCTCGTGGACGCGCTTCTTCGGGCAGAGCCTTCCGGTTTTCTTGCAAAATTTGTACAACTCACGCATTCTGCACGTTTAAAGGCATGTTACTTTTTATTGCTCCCTCCCACTCTTCCCTACTTCACATCTTGGCAGCAGCCTGATGTCATACAATGTTGTTCACTGCAGGTTGCCGACGCATACGTTGCTGCAGAGGACTCGTATTTTTTCCAACGATCACCTTTAGCTTTTGATGCGATATTCCAATATTACGCGACCGGAGTCGTACATCGTCCGTCCGAGGTGAGCACTTTGACTACAATTCGCTCATTGGCAAAGTGCTGAGAGGTAACACGATACAAACCACCGCGTTGATGGTGTGTGTTGAGCCGTCAGCCAGCCGTTTTGCCATTTCAACTGACAAGTGACACCATTGTTCGTCAGGTGTGTCCGGCTTCCTTTCTCTCGGAGCTCGACTTTTGGCGCATCTCTCATCAGCACGTGGGCTCTTGCTGCGCCGACATTGTCCCTCAGAAAAGAGAGGAAGAAAAAGAGGAAGAAAAGGTTGCACTAATAATGAATAAACGTCACTTGTCGCTCATTCAATTGCCGTAAAAGTTGTCGTTTCCAGGTTGACGACACGACGTTTGATAACTTGATGTTCGGTAAAGTGCGACGGCGAATGTGGACGTTCCTCGAGCGGCCTGGCTCGTCAATGCAAGCAAAGGCCTTCGAGCTTTCCTCCACACTCTTCGTCGCCATTTCTGTCATGGGCCTCAGTTTCGGCACAATTCCCGACTTCCAGGTTCGTGTTTCTCATGCGTTCAATCCACGCCATTTCTCATTAACGGGCTTTGCAGGTGACGCACTACATGCCCCCACAAAACGAGACGATCGTGCTGCCTAATGGCACGGTGAGTGTGGTGGAAAAGGTGGAGGAGATGCGAGTTGAACATCCTGCATTCGTGTTCACCGAACGGATCTGCATAGCCTTCTTCACCGTTGAGTACTGCTTGCGATTATTTGCCGCCCCCCGGAAACTGCGTTTCGCTCTCAAGCCGCTGAATCTTGTCGATCTTCTTGCGATCGTGCCCTTCTACCTAGAACTGCTGCTCACGTTGTGCGGAGTAGACGACAAGAAACTGCGAGACTTGCGATGGGCCTTTCTCGTTGTGCGGATTCTGCGAGTGCTGCGAGTTATCCGAATCATCAAGCTCGGTCGTTTCTCGTCCGGTCTGCAAACATTCGGCATGACATTGCAGCGGTCACAGAAGCAACTCCAGATGATGACGATCGTGCTGCTGACGGGTGTCGTGTTCTTCTCGACAATGATTTACTTTCTGGAGAAGGACGAGGACGGCACGCCATTTACGAGCATACCGGCGGCATACTGGTGGTGTATCGTGACCATGACCACAGTTGGCTATGGCGACGCTGTTCCTGCTACCACCAGTAAGTTTCTTCTATCGTTTCCCTTCTGTTTGTTGGCTGAAGCTTAGGTGAATGTGACCGAGCGTCGTTCCAGTGGGCAAAATCATCGCGTCGGCGGCCATCATGTGCGGAGTGCTGGTACTGGCGCTGCCGATCACAATCATCGTCGACAATTTCATTAAAGTGGCGCAGGATGAGCAGCAAGCGGAACAGACGAAGCTAGACAGTAGCAGGCAAGAACTCGCTCTTCAGTCCATGTTGCACGGTGACGAAGACTGAGGCTAGCCTGATGGGGGACCCACCCGCTATTACAATTATGTGCTTTTATTTGAATATCCCTCTTTGAATCGAATAGGATCGCTACCAATCCTTTGCGAAATACGAGTATCGCCAATACATAGGTGCACTTTCTCTTACTGAATTCAATCCGCCGCATGTTCTATGTGAGTTCAGAGATTTTTCACTTCTGCTCCCTCAGTAAATACACTTAGCTCTAGTCAGTCATTTTACGCCTAGAATGGGTTATCTAGTGAAAAAAGGATCCATAAGATCCCACGACAAATTACGGACCACATTTTATTGACATATCAGAAAGTTAGAGGGAATGGACAGTACCCTCCTTCTTCTCGCAATAGGGAGATACTTTTGTTTTTGTTGACAGTCAATATGAATAGCCACTGCTAGCTCACATAAAAATACCTTGTGATTCATTTCTTCAATTTTTTTTCGTTGACAGATCATGTAAATTTTTCGGTACTGTTGAATAAATTATTTATAACTGCTACTCACTGCTTCCTGGTCACTTGCTAAAACCTCCAGAAGGTAGAGCGGCGGGGCCGTCAAGAACCACTTGTCGGGTGGGTTGTGAGTCTGAGCTAGGCTCGTACCTCGTAACTTTTTAGGAATATTTAACTAGTACTCACAAGTTCGTGGCTACCATTTGAAAGGAAGATAAAGATCTACGCCTTCTACCTCACGCATACCTGTGAATGACAGTCGAAGCTTCACGGTGTCCCCCTCGTCGTAAATGAGCGTCGACATGTAGCGATCCGGACGAATAATTTCTGGCTGGGCATCCATAGTCAGCTTGAATTTATGCTCGCATATGCCGACGACGTTTCGTAGTTCGACCTGAAACGCATAGCGACTTGTTTGAGGAACTTCGTACACCAACTTGCTTCCCAACGGGTACTGTTCATGTTTCTGGGCTATACTTGAAACCCATAACATCCAAGTAAGACGTCTCGTTGGATGAAACCTAACCTCATTCTGGTGCCCAAATTGAATGCGATATTACAGTTTTTTTTTGAATATTTAGGAGCAACAAATTATGCAAGCACGACGCATACGTTTGGCAACGACGTTCTCCGAATTTTCAGTGACTCTTAAGGTGTCGAAATTGACCATTTGCATCCCGCCTGGAGATGTCCTTCCCAATTTATTGAAGTGCTTTCAAGGTAAAAGCAGGCAGTGGTTATCATGATCAATATGAGCCTTCTTGGCCGTAGGAAACTTGTAAAAAACCAAACCGCACTTCGCACGACAGAATTAGTGGCAATAGTCCGAGCTGCTCAAAGCGCGTCCCAGATTTGGTTCAGTCGGCTCTCAAAACCTCCGCCTCCCATCGTTTGTAATTTCTGATTGATATACTGAGCCAAACGTTGCCCTTCATCAAACTGCGCTCCAGCTTTCCGTGGCAAGATCATGGCAGAAATGTGATCGAGTACCTCACGTAAAAAAACACATGCATGCGGCAAGCCTTAGCCGCTTAAGACGCCTGTTGTTACAATACCGCCCCTAATTTTTGTTCAATCGCCGAAATGTGATACAACTTTCCGTAGCAAACCGTCGTTTTGCTGTAACTTGTGAAAATATGGCGCAAATGCTATAAAATTTATACCATCGGATAGCACTGGTCATGACGAATCTAAAGATATAGCGAACTCTCAATTTCCTCGAAACCTTCGGCCTTATTTTCAAGGAAACGAGCGATTGAGTCTCTTCTTGCCAATAGCAGTACCTGCGGTCATAACACCATTGCAAACCCTCCAGTTCGACTAGGAAATTCAAAACATGTATTCCGAAGCTGGAAATGTGAACATTTTCGGAAACAGCTTGCATTCGCGATCATTTTGGTACCAATCTTAACGGGATTTCAACAAATTTCAATTGTAATTTTAAGTTTTAGTGACCACTCTCTTCGGGATGTGACGATTATTCGAGGCCGTTGAACCCTTGTCCACGAAACTGAAATCTAGTGATCTCTGCTTGTTTATAGTTTTAAAAGTTTGTCGACGTCAGTCCTGCCCAAAAACGGTCCCTCGATGGATGACCTCCTCTAATTACGTCGACTAACTGGCCACTGGACTGTATCGATCTGGTCCTGTAGTTATACTGGATCGCTTACCGCATGTAGACGGTTGAGATGCACACTGTGAAGTGCCAGAAATCCATTCGGTTTGTCTTTTATTCAACTATTGATCAACGATCCAATTCTTTAATGGTGTTGCTTGATTATTAGGCGGCAGTCAGAATAAGCTGACTTTTCAAAGTTTTTGGGAATAGTTTCGAATTTAATTCCATAAACAGGTCTTATAGGTGAAAACTGAAATACCCCTCGTATGTGCTCAGGCCACGAATGCAGTCCTCACTCGCTACGAACGAGCTGGCAAAATTGAGAACAGGCGCCGCGCATTGTACTTCCATGCAGGATCGTAGTGGTATTTGAATGCGAGTTGGCCTATACAACTTGCAGAGGTAGCCGATGTACAAGTCAGTGTTTTTATCCTCCCAGACAAGTTTGATGCCAATCACTGGCCGGTGATGGAAGGCTGGTTGACCCGGTCGTCGTACAACCCAGTTTTTGATTCCAGGACATTCGCCGTCGTTGGGCAATTAAGTTGGAAAATACTGGATTGAGAATCCTAATTACTGGATCATGGAGGATATAAACGAAGTCAGATTCAACCAGGGATCCGAACTGAGTCAAGATACCAAAATAAAATAATAACTAAAGCCCAGTAGATCTTCAAAAGCAAAACCCCGTGGGACTCAACTTATTTGAAACTTCACGCAAAAGCGTCCCTCAAAGAGTGACTCTCGAAAAATTACAGTACTCGCCGTTTGAAATCGAAAATTCACGCGAATAACGCGAATCCTCGTTAATTTCGTGAATTCGTTATAACTCGGTTCAAAATTGAGCTTTCGAGAATCCGAAGATATCTTTGAATTCAGCTCGTCGGACACTATAAGAATGTGCTTTGATACTTTGGAAAAGCTCCATATAGGATTGCGCCATGCACTCGATTTTCATCTCAAAAAGTAGTTGCTCGCATGTGATGTGTATATAATCCCGCTTATGCGGGCTGACCGCTACACACAGAGAAGGGCCTCAAAACCCCAGAATGCGCCACGTACTCTCAATCTCATCCACTACATTGTGAGATTAGATGAATGTTATTTTCCGAATTCTTAGATCTTCATTTCGTTTTTAAGCGCTTACTGGCTTTACGTGTTCCCTCTGCTCTCAATATCCCATCCTCTGTATATCAAGTGGAATCTTTGAACAGTTCTCAGCAGGCATAGTGGGCCTATTATGTGACATTTTCCATTTTCAGAGGAGATGTTTTGCAGAAAGCTGTGAAGATAGCGAACAATTTCCTTCACTGTCGTAGACTACGGTCACTTGTCTGTAAGGATTATATGAAACCTTGGTCGCAGGTGAGCGTTTCTTCCGTGGTGTGACCCCAAACATCACCCCTTGTCATGCCTTTGCCCCCTATTACGTGACAAGTCCCATTTTTAGAGGAATGTTTTGTAGAAAGCTGTAAAGGAAGCGAAGAATTTCCTTCACTGTCGTAGACTATGGTCACTTGTCTGTAGGAATTATGTGGAAAACTCGGTCGCAAGTGAGCGTTCCTTCCGTGGTGTGGCCCCAAACATGCCTCCTCGTCATGCCCTTGTGGAAAGTTCAGATTTTTTGCATTTCCAGATGAACTCGCAGACCTGAAATGTGCCCCGTTAGCTTCCCCGTGAAAAATGCTATCGAATGATATGCATTACTTCCCCAGTTGAAACTTTGGTTTTTCACCGTTTTCAGCCTTCCCCTATTGCCGGATCACTATCCCACGATTACTGCCCCAAAATCTCAAAGTTTCATTTTTCGTCGAAACTTTGTCTATTGGGGTAATTCGATGCCCTGATTACGAATATGACATTCATTTTTGATGCTGGTGTCATTTGGCGCCAATTTGGCGCCACGGCTGTTTTCACCAAATCTGCTGAAACTTCGTGTATAGGGGTTATTTGGGGTCCTGATCACGAATATAACATCCAGTCTTGACGCCGGCGCCATGTGGTGTCACAAACAACACTTCACAGTCAGAGCGTACTCTTAGGCACCTTTCTCAGAGCGCCGACTGTCAGACCGTGGAAAAGGTCATCGAATCGGAGACTTTCCCACGACAGGAAGGAGCCAGACCGTGGAAAACTGTGAGCTAAGCCAGAAGCATATTTCACGTTTTCACTGGAGATGCCTGTATGCGTTGGGCAGAGCAGCAATTCGACTGTAAGCTCTGAGGGCATCAGGCATCTCCAGTGAAAACGTGAAATATGCTTCTGGCTTAGCTCACAGTTTTCCACGGTCTGGCTCCTTCCTGTCGTGGGAAAGTCTCCGATTCGATGACCTTTTCCACGGTCTGACAGTCGGCGCTCTGAGAAAGGTGCCTAAGAGTACGCTCTGACTGTGAAGTGTTGTTTGTGACACCACATGGCGCCGGCGTCAAGACTGGATGTTATATTCGTGATCAGGAAAATAACCCCTATACACACGTTTTCAGCGGATTTGGTGGAAACAGCCGTGGCGCCAAATTGGCGCCAAACGGCGCCAAATGGCGCCAGCGCCAAAAACGGGTGTCGTTTTCGTAATCAGGACCCCAAATAACCCCAAATGACGAAGTTTCAGCAGATTTGGTGAAAACAGCCGTGGCGCCAAATGGCGCCAGCATCAAAAATGAATGTCATATTCGTAATCAGGGCATCGAATTACCCCAATAGACAAAGTTTCGACGAAAAATGAAACTTTGAGATTTTGGGGCAGTAATCGTGGGATAGTAATCCGGCAATAGGGGAAGGCTGAAAACGGTGAAAAACCAAAGTTTCAACTGGGGAAGTAATGCATATCATTCGATAGCATTTTTCACGGGGAAGCTAACGGGGCACATTTCAGGTCTGCGAGTTCATCTGGAAATGCAAAAAATCTGAACTTTCCACAAGGGCATGACGAGGAGGCATGTTTGGGCCACACACCATAGTCTATGACAGTGTAGGAAATTCTTCGCTTTCTTCACAGCTTTCTACAAAACGTTCCTCTAAAAATGGGACTTGTCACGTAATAGGGGGCAAAGGCATGACAAGGGGTGATGTTTGGGGTCACACCACGGAACAAACGCTCACCTGCGACCAAAGTCCCCTTATAGTCCTTACAGACACGTGACCATAGTATACGACAGTGAAGGAAATTGTTCGCTGTCTTCACAGCTTTCTACAAAACGTTCCTCTAAAAATGGGACTTGTCACGTAATAGGGGGCAAAGGCATGACAAGGGGTGATGTTTGGGGTCACACCACGGAAGAAACGCTCACCTGCGACCAAAGTCCCCTTATAGTCCTTACAGACACGTGACCATAG